TGTTGTAGTGTTGGTTGTTGTGTTGGTTGTTCTCTTACGTTTTGTGCTAATTTTGTCTATGTTCTGGCTTTATTTAGATTCTTTTTACTGTAGCTTTCTTTTATTTTGTTATTTTTTCAATTTTTTGAGGGATCGTCGGAAAGAGTTCATTTTTCAAAATATTATTATTATGAAAAGTTAATATATTTTAAAATTTAAAAATTTATATATAAATTTATACTATAAATCTATATATAAATATATAAATTATATACAGTCGGACTTTATTATAGTCACAGGTTCAGGAAACAAAATTTGTATGACTATAAAAGAATGTAACTATATTAAAAAACCTTTATATAGTTACTTTAATAGTAAATAAAAAAAACTCATGACTATATAAAGTAATTATATATAAATATAATTTTTTTAGGTACAGTTTTGTAAATCGAGCTTTTTGATTTAATATATGCTATTTATTCATTACCTATAAGTAAACTGGCATTTATACATATACGTATACAGTAATTTATGTGTATTAAATAATCTTACTATACTGACTCCGGCTATACTGACTCTGGCTATACCGACTCTGGCTTGATAGTAATATTTTCACAAACTAAAAGCACAGTACCAGCAGGGCTATTACGTATAAAGTGGTAATAACTACTATTATAGTAATATGTATAACAATCTAACTATACACATTTTAATTTATACTAAATGAACATTAATTATAGCTAAAGATCATGTAAAAATCCTAACTATAAGAAAATTGGGATTTTAATTTAATTCATATTATGCTTTAATATTAATGAATTCAAGATTTCTACTTATACTCTAGAACATATACGAATCTTGAACGTACGAATCTTACGAATATGATTTTAAGTCTAAATCTTGTGAATTCGAATCTTAAGAATATAGATCTTGGTAATATGGATCTTGGGAATACGGATCTTGGAAATATGAGTCTTGAGAATACAGATCTTGAGAATATGGATCATGAGAATATAAATCTTGAGAATATGGATTTTGAGAAGATAAGTCTTGAAGAAATGAATCTTAGAAATAAGAATATGAACCTTGAAGGTTAAAAAACTAGTAATTTTGGTTTGTTTTTTTGACTTTTCATATACATGTTTATATTCTTTAAGTAATTTTCTTAAAAACCCTAATTCTTCAAGAGAGAGATTAACTCTGAACTTTCCTGTTTTTCATAGTGAATAATAGTCTGCATTGCATTATATGCTTTGGCTACTGCTACTGGTAGATCGGGTACCTCATCTTCATCTTTATCTTCTTGCTCTATTAATTCTTCATTCTTCTTAGCTTGAAGCATAGAAATGATTCCCTCATCATCGAGTACTTTATCTGTAGCGATAGGTTCATTAATTACTTGTAGATACATTTGTATAGCTTGGGCGGTCTCTAGGGCATAGAAACTTTCATCTGGTAATTTAGCGATAATTTCTTCAGTTTTCTCATTTTCTAATAGAGTATCATTTTCGGTGTATTGATCTGTGATGTCTGCATTTGCCTCATTTGTGTTTGGAAGAATTTTTGTCTTATTCTAGCAGTTTTGAATGGTGGTATTACTTATATTGTCCTATGATTCTGCAATGAAATCAATGGTTTTTTTTACAGATATTTTTTTTCTGTAAAAAAAAAAAAATCAAAATTAGTTTAAACAATAACAAGATATAATAACTGAAGGGTTTCAAAATTAAAATATAGATATCTAATTTGATTGAAATAGGTAAAGTATTTGTATTCAAATAAAGTTATATCAGTATTATCAAATTTAACTAATTTCATGCAATAGAATCTCTAACACTTCTACTTTGTGTTTTTTTTTTTTTTTTAATTTCAAAATTTTGAAGCACAAAATAAGAGTTTTAATACTCTTATTTATTTCTAAACTTTTTTTTTTTTTAATTTTGAAGCCTTATTATACAAACTTTTCTATATCAGCATTAGATTCAAATTGCTTGAGAACATATTCGCAATATAGACGTTTATATTTAAACTTGAATGATCTAATTATACCAGCATCTATAGGCTAGAGATGCGTGGTTGTGTGAGGTGGAAAATAATATATGGTAATATTTGTAAGCTTTAACATTTTAGAAAATTTTTTTTTTTTGCGAGAATTGGTGCAGGTGGTTTCTTGTCTTTCGTGTGGTCTTTCACATGAAGAACTTTTACGCAAACTTCTACGTGGCCTTCTACATATTTTTCTGCATGTACTTTGTTGCTCTTCAAGTAACCTTCTTTCAATTCTATCATTATCTTTGGAGCTGGAAGAATCGTTCATCGGATCTTTATCAGAATTTAACTGATAATTATCATTCTCTGCAATATTAAATATTTTTTTATTTTTTTTAGATGATTCAGGTTGACTGTAAGAGGGCATTATCTATGAGAAACAAAATTTTTTTATCTTGAATGTGAAATCCAGAATCAATAAAGCGTAACTATTCTGCCCAAATATCTAATCTCATCTATGCCTATTTATTATTTTTATAGGTGACAGGAAGTTGTGCCAAATTTATACTACTGAAGCTTCATAGTTTTTTTAAATAACCGATAATGAGAGGCTGAAGTTTGTGTGAACCAGTTGCATTTGTAGCAAGTAATATTGTAAGCCGTGATTTATTCTATAATAGATAATATATCAATTTATTTATTTATTTTACTTTTTTATTTTTATTTTTTATATTTTATTTTTTATTTTTTTAACCTGTTTTGATCTAGCAACAGCTCGCTTCGCTAATGTCTGATTTGGCAATATTCAATAAAACAACCCTGTCTTCTAACTCATATTGAAAAAGAAGTTCATAAAGCTTTATTCTTTCACATGACAGGGATTCTAAAGGTGCACTTGCAACTTCACCATGAAGTTTATACCATTGTAAAGAGTTTTGTTTTTTATAGTTAGTTATCCACCCATTCGAAAACTTCAATTTATCTTCAAAAATACCAAGAAGCCTTCCGAACTCACGATCTTTTGATTTTACTAATTCATCTGTAAAAACTAGACTGATAGCTAAAACTTGACTAATCCAAATATTCATTGCTTTTTCAACTAAAGGATACTTTGGACCTCTATTTTTATAAAGATTTTGTATTGCAGTATTTTCCTCAAGGTGTAGATACTGATCTTTTTTTTAAAAATTTTAGAAACAGTTAACCGATCAAGATTTAATTCTGGATATCTTCTATTAAATTCATTCATAATATCTTGCTGTTTTGCTAATAGGTTCTAAATAGAATATTCACAAATTTGTTTATGTTGGGCATTAGTTAATTGGCTCTGTGTTTTTTTTTTAGATGCCGAACTAGGAAGCATAATGAAAAGCAAAAAAAAAATAATGATAAATAAAAAAAAAAATTTTAACAAATGTTTATTATTGTTTAAGATTTGGTTGGGTATTCTATTAGCTTTAAAATTCACGTCTTTTATAATTACTTAGGTATATATTATTTTAAATCTAAAGATACAGGAGAAAAATACAGGATCTATATATCTGTGTAAGAACTTCATTCATGCGTATACGATTTAATCAGTGTTGGCTTGACCAGACCAGTTTGACTATTGGACCAGACCAATTTGACCAATTTGACCAGTCTGGTCAAAAGATTTGTACTGGTCAAATTGGTCAAATAGAATATTTAAATATGATTTATTATACTGTATAATACAATATATATATTATATTTATATAATAGACTTGACCAATTGGACCAGTTTGACCAATTGACCAATTTGACCAGACCAATTTGACCAGCAAATTTTTGGTCGACCACTAATTTGCCCAACACTAGATTTAATATATATCCCTGCATATAGTTCTTAAAAATATGCAATATTGTCCATATCAATATATGATGGAATATTTTAATTTTTTTTTCCTTTTTCTACTTGAAACATTTAATCTCACCATTTTCTTCTTTTCTAAATTTTAGATTTTTACAAGCAACACAACCCATTCCAGAATCTCCCTATTTTGATTTATATCCACTTTTTTTTTTTTCACACTTGATCAGTATTTCTGGTCTGCACAATTTAGGCCTTGAGTATAATATTAGCAAAACCACTAGAACACATAGGTTGTGAGTAGAGTTGGCAATGAAGAGCCTCAATGAAGTGAATGGAGCTTAATAAATACTTATCTATTGAGGTTCATTCAAACCTCCATTGGCGTTGTTTTTTTTTCTTAATGGATAGCAAAATTGTCAACCATGATCATAGACTATTTCGCTTGTTCTCAATTAGATATTCAGGTTGTATTTTTGGTATAAATATACTGTATTTGGGTTGCTTTAAGGTTAAGCGACTCAAAGCTGTTTATAATAACCATTAATTAGATAAATGATGGTATGATGTATTATTCTTTAATTATTTATTCCTTGTTAACTTTAACTATTGTTTTCTAATTATTCAAAATGTTACTATCGGTTAGAAAGCAGTATGCATACTATTGTTATTTATCTCTGATAGTGTTGATAGAGAAATAGACATTCATGAAAGTCAAATATTTATGTTAGAAAGTACCTTGAACATTTCACTACAAAAAAAATTGCATACATGCAGATCCACTCTGAAGAATACATCATATGCTATCGATTAATCAGGGAACTTAACAACTTATGCTGGTGTTTTCAATATTGAATAGTTCATACTATAGTAGTTTTGTAACAGTATATTATGCAATTTGGGAAGATAAAATTAATATGTGGAAACATGTATTCAAAGAGATTTGTAGACCAAGTAATAAAGATTGTTAATGAGTTGAAGAATTGGCTGAGAATCCATCTTTTTTAGAATGTATTGCTGTATCAAAAAATAATAACTATATTATTAGGATATGTATCACTTTACCGATACTCACTTTGTAGATACAAAACTTCGCCGACAAGTTTATTTTACAGACATTTAAATCACTAACAATTAATTTACTGACATGTTCACTTTACCACATGTTTATTTCACTCGCCAACAATTTATTCACTGACAAGCTTAATTCACAGCAAATCAGTCTAATTATACTACATTCTAACTCTAGCACTAACTCTAACTTAGTTGAACGTTTAATCATATGATTAGGTTCCTACTACCCAAATTAAGCTTGTGGGTGAATTGAATTAAGTGTCGGTGAAATAAATATATCAGTAATATGAACATGTTGGTGAATTAATTGTTAGTGATTTAAATGTCTGTAAAATAAACTTGTCGGTAAAGTCTTGAGTCTACAAAAGCAATGTTAGTGAAATGAGCAAAACCGATTTCATCATAATGGGATATGTGTTCGAAGAGTTATTATGTCCGAATCTTGAGCAAGTATCAAAGATGAGTTAAAAAGATGAATATTTGTACTATATAGATCTACAAACCAAAACTATTTTGTAAAATGAATAGTCTTATGCTAAAAATCATATAAATTTGGTACATATACAGGTATTCATGTGAAATTAGCTCTAGGTTTCAATTTTTTAAATAGTTATAACTTTATAACTTTTTATCTAATAAGTTTTAAAAAAATCTGACCAGTAACTTTATAAGCTATATCAGCTCTATATATATGCCAAATATCATTATTACAAAATATTGTTGTATTTTAAAAATTAAAATTTTATATAGTTAGACCTCATTATAGTCACTCTTGATATAGTTACAAACTCATTATAGTCACATTTTTTTTTTACCAACTAAATTTATATTAAATTAGTCTCATTATAGTCACAATTTCACTATAATCACTATCACACGATCTTTTATAACAAACCTTAATAAATTTATCTCAATATAATCATGAAAAATTTACAAGCTAATCTTGCTTCCAGAAATACTATACAATTAACATAAAAATCACTAAGGTCTAGTTAAAATACATTGGAGTTAATAATTCAGACCAATTAAACTTTATAACTCATTTGCTCTATAAATTGTATAGTTAAATTTTTTTATTTTAAAATTTAGCAAATCAATACAGTAAATAAAATTTATTTCCCAATTAGTAAAAAAAAACCTAACACTAATTGATATAACCTATGACGAAATCAGAGCTCATGATATAATCTAGAGCTCTAAATCTAATTATCTAAGTTATGTCTTTTCATCGAAACCTAGAGCTAATTTCACATGAATACCTGTATATGTACCAAATTTATATGATTTTTAGCATAAGACTATTCATT